CAAACAGCCGGAGAAATTTCGATTTAGCCGGCAGCCGATTTCTTAGCCGTTTTACAGAAAAAAATTTGCCGTTTTTAGCCGATTTTGCTATTTGCCTTGTTTTCTTAAATTACAAATAGGTATATACGTTTCCATTTTTGACTAAGCGACCCAAAATCTGTTAGAAATGACTATTAGCCTTATCGTGGAGAAAATTTTCATGTCAGGCAGGGTTGTATGAAATTGGGCCGATTTCGCTTATTTTTATTTGAAACGAAGAAGAGATTTTCTTCATAAAATGTTTGTTATAAATGTCTTAATTTTAAGTGTGAAATTTTATTCGCAAACTTAGAAAATTAGAAATTGTTTCACTGTTAAGACACTTAAGATGCGTTTGTGTTTGGATTTAGTGCCAACAAAAGCATAAATATTACATGTAGATATTGTCTTCCCAGATAGCGCATATTCAATTCTGCCTAAATTACAAAACATCATTTTTGCACACTCCCAAAGGTTTAAGGTAAGGGGAAAATTGATATTTTCAAGCACTATGTACACATATGTATTTTTTTAAACAAACTTTTTTGCTGAGAACTTATTTAAATTCCAAAAACCGAATGCCAACTTGTATTAAAGGAGCCAACACTGAAGTGAGTCAAAATAAAAATAAAAGAGCACAAATTTCTATGTAAAGCAAAACTCTCTGGGAATCTTACGAGACATCTGCCGGTCATATGCAGTGTTGCCATTTTAGCCGTTTTCCGGCTAGATTTAGCCGGTTGCGATAGCAAACAGCCGGAGAAATTTCGGTTTAGCCGGAAGCTGATTTGTTAGCCGTAAAAGAGCACAAATTTCTATATAAAGCAAAACTCTCAGAGAAGACTATAGGCTTGTTCGTCAAAAATGCAACGAAAATTATCACTCAAAATATCAGATAGTAAGAAAAAATGCTCCCTGATTCTCTCTCAAGTAAAGAAACTTGCGAATTTCTGCACGAACGCAAATTTTCAGGAACTTGCAAGTTTTCCTGCCAGCCAGTGTCCACGGTTGCATTTCAAACATAAAGAATTTGTATAGAATTTTTAAAATTCTTTCAATGGAGCAAAAAGCAGGATCTACATTTCTTGTTAGTCCGACTTTCTTCAACATACGTTTCAATTGCTTTGTCGTAGTAACTATCGGGTTTCCTATATCGACTCTGGTTGAGATTGCATTCCGAGTACGTTTCAAATCACTGGAATTAACAAAATTAATTAAGTAAACAAGTGTTTACTTAAATTTTTGTTAAGTTTGTAATTTTTTAAATTTGACGAATTCGAAAAAAATGCAACCATGTGCCGCAATCATATGTTTTTCATAATTGCAAATTCTTGCTGGCAAAACTTTTTCCAGCTTGAATTTGCAACTTCTCTCCAAGAACTAGTCTTTCTACTTATGATTTATTTAAATAAAACATGTGAAATTTAGTTGAAACACTTTAGCCGTTTTTAGCCGTTTTTTTGCCAATTTAGCCGGTTGGTCCAAAAAGTTCTGGCAACACTGGTCATATGACCGGTCATCTAAATGGGAGATCTGCAGTTTTTTGGGACCATATTTTGCATCAGAATTGAATGGATTTCTGAAAAATCTGACCAGTTTTTTTGTGTAACTTTGATTTTTCGTCCCTTGTCAACATATGGCCTCGTTGTTTTACTGCCTCAAAGTTGAACGGAAATCTTTACAGCGTTTTTTATGTGTATTGGTTTCTATTTGAGTGTATTGAGAATCGGTCAGTCTGAAAAGGCCTTGTAGGGAAGACTATAGGTAGTAAGAAAAAATGCTCCCAAATTCTCTCTCATGTAGAGAAATTTGCAATTTTCTGTACGAACGCAAATTTGCAACTTTTTCTGCCAACTAGTGTCCACGGTTGCATTTCAAACAAAAGAAATTTGTGTAGAATTTTTAAAATTCTATCAGAGGGGCATAAAAACAGGATCCACGTGTATATATCTTGTCAGTCCGACTTTCTTCAACATACGTTTCAATTTCTTTGTCGGGTTTACTATATCGACTCTGGTTGAGATTGCATTCCGATTAAGAATACAGTTTTTTTTGCCGAGTACCTCTCAAATCATTGGAATTAACTAAATTAATTAATTAAACAAGTATTAACCTACTTTTTTCATTTTAAAATCGCTCCAATTTGTAAATTTTTAAATTTAACGACCTGGTTTATTCAAATTATCGTTTAAAAAAATTCAACCGTGTGCCACAATCATATGTTTTTCCTAATTGCAAATTCTTGCTGGCAAAATTTTTTCCGGCTCGAATTTCTAACTTCTCTCCAAGAATTAGTCTTTTTACTCGTGATTTATTTAAATAAAACGTGTTAAATTTAGTTGAAACATTTTAGCCGGTTTTATTTGCCAATTTAGCCGGTTCGTCCAAAAAGTTCTGGCAACACTGCATGTAACCATAAGTGGGCGTGGCTACGCCCATTTTCCAAAAATTTATAATATTCTTATTTTTCGTCTACAATTTATTGTAAATATCAATTTTGAGTGAATAATCTCCATTAGTTACTAAAATATCGCAGTTTTCCTATATCTGAAAATTACCGTTATATGGGAAGTGGGCGTGGTTACAGTCCAATATCACCGATTTTCAATACCAACCTACCTTGTATAAATGGAGACCCACATACCAATTTCCTCGAGATATCTCAATTTAATCGACTTCTCTACTCATTCTGAGCATTTATGTATACATTTGTC